TTTTTGAAAGCCTTGTTCATGAGTCGTTGATAAGTTGTACCAGCATTTTTTAACCCGAATGACATAACCTGATAACAATATAAGCCCTCATCTATTTGAAAAGAGGTGGCCTCCTCGTCCACTGGGTTCATCTTTATTTGAATGTATCCTGAGTATGCATCCATAAAGCTTAGCATCCGATGTCCAGACGTGGCATCAACGAGTTGATCTATGCACGGGAGGGGAAAACTATCCTTCGGGCAAGCTTTGTTGAGGTCTGTATAGTCGACGCACATTATTCATGAACCATTAGCTTTTTTCACCATGACGACATTGGCCAGCCATGCAGGATGGTGTACTTCTCGTATGAACTTTGCTTCAAGAAGCTTGTTGACTTCTTGTTCAATAGCTTGTAAACGGTTTGGGGCAAAACTACGCTTCTTCTAGATAACCAGTTTAAAGGTCGGGTCTACCTTTAAAGAGTGCGATTATTGCTGGATCAACTTCAGATATGTCGGCTGGAGTCCATGCAAAAATGTCTTGATTCCTTCGAGAAGATATACATACTCTGACAGTTTCTCATCGGAGAGTAGGGAACCAAACTGCAGTGTTCTCGAAGGATGTTTGTCGGAGAGTGGGATTTGAACAAAGTCTTCCACGGGAGAAGCCCGTTGAGATACATCTTCATCTCAAAGATCGAAGTTTTCAATGCTAAGTGTCATTGACGGGCGTGGTTGAGCTTGTCTGAGGTAGCATGATCGTGTTATCTGTTGATCACGTCGTACGACGCCGATCCCTGCTGGGGTTGGAAACTTGATCTTCAAGTGTGTTACAAAAGTCACGATGCCAAAAATTGATTGCAGTGGTCTCTCGAATATAGCATTATACATTGATTCTGATTTGACAACGATGAACTAAACTGAGTGGGTTATTTGTCGAGGAAAATCTCCCAAGACAACTGGAAGATTTATTGTTCCCTCGACCCTCATTGGTCGATTATCAAAACCATATAATGGTTCGGATGCAGGTTGAAGTATCTCCCTTGTCAATCTCAAACTGAGGAAAGTTGAATAGAACAAGACATCAACAGAGCTCCCATTGTCGATCAGGATCCTCTTTACATTATAGCAGGGCTCGCCAACTACTGCGCTAATGACTAAAGGATCTTGATGGGGGACTCAAACTCCTTTCAAATCGGAATCATCAAAAGTTATAGGCTCAAGACGCAATTTCTTCTGCAATGGTTCGCCAGGTATAGTGACAAGGACTTGATCAATCATCGATGAGCCTCCAACAATTGTTTGAATTTGTCCTACGACTGGGTAACCCTCATGTTGCTGCCTTAATGTATGTTGCCCCCCAGTAGGAGCGTTATCGATACCAGCTGTTTTGTTTTGTACAAATCGACCAAGATATCCCTGTTTAATTAATCTTTCAATCTCTTCCTTGAGCTGCTTACATGCTTCGGTGGAATGACCACGACTGCGATGAAAATGACAATATTGATCTTGATTCCCTGAGTTTGGTTTTAGGGCGTGAGGCCACTTAACAGCTTGCTCATCTTTAATAGCCATTAAGATGTTAGCACGTGATGTGTTGAGTGGTGTATACTCTTTCTTGGGTCGATATTCAGTTCGTTGACCCGTAGGTTGGAGGAGGTCACGATTCTTCGGTTGTTCAAACTTTCTCCGTTGCGAAGATTAATTATTGTCTTTAGAGTTACCTTTGCGCTTTCCTCCAAATTTTTCAAATTGTTTCTTATGTGCACTGATAGCCTCGTCTGCATTGATTTGGGCCTCAACACGGTGGACAAGATCGACTCTCCTTCATTTTGACGAATTCCCGAGAGATGGGATGAATCCTTGATGATCCTTCGATTTGCGATGAACTACTCCACGAAAAGTTTGGCAAGCTCGTTAAAGGTGTTTATAGTGCCCCTCGGTAGAGAGTAGAACCAAGTTCGAGCTTGTTCTTTAAGAGTAGCCGGAAACACTTGACGCAAAAGCGCATCAGAAGCACGCTTAATGTGCATGATAGTTCGATAATGATCAATATGCTCGTAAGGGTCGGTTGTCCCTTCATATGTATAGATGCTCAGAAGCTTAAAGCCTGTTGGGATGAGGTGTTGGAGGACTGCATTCGCTAAGGGAGAAGATTCATGGATGTTACAGTGAGCGTAGAAGCGATCCTTTTTCTCTAAGGGGAACTCTTCCCGGACGAGGCGTCGTAGTTCATTGCGATTGACATTATTTGGAATGGTGGGAAGATGTGACGACGTCGGGTGAGCTGCACGAGATGGATGAGTGGAGCTTGCTGTATCTAGGAGTTCAACATCACGACTCTGATAGGGGATGTGTTCCTTCATGAGGAGGCAGACCGACATGAGTTCCTCCGAGCGGTATGTTTCTCGTACGTCTCAGAGTTAATGGTAAACGAATTTCATCCAATGGTGTAGGCAGCGGCTGTTGAGCCCCGCGTAGGAGCTGTAGAATCTCTAGTTGAGACTCATCCATTCTACGCATTCGATCTTCTATTGAAGGACCCGAAACACCTTCATTGACAGGATAACGTCTTCTAGGGCGGGAAGATGAAGAAGCATGCTGCCCTTGGCTTCGTGATTGCTCCCTGGAACGATGGGTGTTGGAGTGGGATGCTCCATTATCACGAACATTGCGTCTGTTGCCATGTAGTAGACCGTTTAAGTACTTTAGTTGTGGGATTGAA